TGCAAAAGCCGAGTCCTTCTCCGATATCCATGAGATTTCTAGCATGAGCTACTGCTTCACGATAGGCAGTCGGGTCGTTGCAGCCGGAACCAACATGGAAGCTGAAAAATTATTTTGTTTACTCTAAATTACTGTAAAGACTTGGCTACAGTATCCAAATGCGATTTCAAGTCCGCTACAGTATCCTGACAAGATTATAGTTGCGGTTGCGGCTACAGTAACCAGATGACAAGATTACAGTTGCCACTACGTTGACCAAGTGACAAAGGTTTTAGTTTTCTAGTCAGCTGCGGCAACTGGCAAAGATTCTAGTTGCAGCTACAGTAATCAGATGGTAAAGGATCCAGTTGCAACTACAGTCAGATGACAAAGGTTTTAGTTGTATAGTTGCAACTACAGTAATCAGATGACAAAGGTTAGTTGCAACTACACAACTACATGACAAAGATTCCAGTTGCACCTACAGTAACCAGATGACAAAGATTCTAGTTGCAACTACAGTAATCAGATGACAAATAATTCAGTCTACCTACACCATTCAAGCGAGAAAACTCTGACTCCCTGTTGAAAATGGCTTCTTACGATATTATCTGATTTTTTTTCCTAGTCATTATCTTCATAAAAAGCACACCTTCACCCTCCTCCCTCCCAGCATTTTCCTACACTTCCCTCCTCAAGGGTCTATCACCTTGTCAGATATTTTGCTTACCTTTGCAGCCATTTTTCCCCCGTATTTGAAATTTTATCTACCTTATCCCAACGACTTCGACGCCAAGTTGCTTGGCCTGAACGAGTAGCTGTGGAGCTTCCTTCACTGGATTTGCTCCAAACTTCAGGTTCAGTGGACAAGTGGCAGTCGGATCCGACACAGCAATGCGCAGGATCATTCTGGAAGAATAGAATTATGGATGTAGTCGACCAAAAAATTCAAATAAAAACCTACTCAGCATCCGGATGCAATCCTGCCACTTTTTCCAATTCTTCTGCGTTATCAAATGTCATCATAGTGACATTTCTTTCCTTAGCATGCATTATGAACGATCGAGTCTTGCATGGATTTGCATAGATGATACGATCCGGTGTCACACCCATGTCCATTACCTAAGGTTTGGGCCTGATTAGGTCCACGGAATCATTCCGGGATTTTCTACGGATATAGAAAAAATGCTCACAATGTCGATTTCTTCACGGCTTGCACAATCGAATCCTACTCCAAGTGAGGCTAGGATACGAATGAGAACAAGGTCGGTGTTACATTTCACAGCGTAGAAGGGCTAAAAAACACTTTTTATCCA